CAACAATCCGGGTCCTCATTTCACCCACCTCGGAAGGATGGAAGGCTGAGTCAACCTTGAGCCGGTGAGATTTGAACCGCTGAACTGCAGAACAGCAGTTAGCTGAAGTAGCCTGCAGTGCTGCATTTAACCACTGCGCCACCTCAGGATGATGGTTTGTCTTCTAGGAGCTGCTCAGCCACTCGTCTGACCGGCCGGAGAAGCAGCAGCTGAAAGAAGCGTTGGAGGCCATGCAGGTGGGGCCCCATGGGAGGTCTGTTGGGGGGGGGTGTCACTGAATAGAGGCAGGGCCTGGTCTCTGGCCAAGGGCTGCTCCCCAAAGCCCAGCCCAGATTCTTCTAGCCTGGCTTGGCTGTGCTCTGCTTCTGCCTCAGGGGCCCCTTGAAATTGCACAGGCCCCCTGAGGCTGCTGGGCGTCTTTCTGCTCTCTGAGCTGACCCCTGCCCGGGGCTTTTCGCCTGCGCTGCCACTGATGGGCCCCTCCGCCTTTCAGGACTTGGCCATGTTCATCAATGAAGTCAAACGGGACAAAGAGACCCTGAAGAAAATCAGTGAATTCCAGAGCTCCATAGAAAACCTGGTAAGATCAAAGGATCAAAGCTTTGGCTCTCCTGTCTCCTCCGGAAGCCCCGGGGATTCTGGCCCCACAGCTGGCCAGGAACAGGCTCCCTGTTCAGGAGGTTGGCATCCCGTAACGGCTGCTGCATGGCAGTGATGGCAAAGGGCGTTAGCCAGCTGAAGGGCACAGACGATGCCAACTGGATGCCAACTGGAGCAGGGTGCAGTCCCCAAACGCTCCCAGCCACTCTAGGCTGTGCAACGAAGGGCCCACACCGCCACACTGAGGAGGGGTCACAACAAGCCTCAGGCCCTGGCATTGCAGAAAGGGATAGCTGGGCTCAGCCAGGCGGGCATGGGAGGCTGCCTCAGGGGCCTCAACACCCAAGAGGAAAGGAAACCACCCTGCCCCTGCTTTCTGGTCTTCCCCAGTTTGCCTGCTCACTGGTCCCCAGACCTGGATCTCACCCAGGAAGAGGCTTGACTGCCATCTGACTCCCGAAGTGCCCCCCCCCTTTCTCTGACAGCTGAGGTGCCCTTTGGAGCCTTCCAGATTAGGGGGGGGGGGAGTTTTGACTGTTGTCCCCTTTGTCCCAGCCGGTGAAGCTGGAAGAATACGGGCGGCCAAAGATCGATGGGGAACTGAAGGTCCGCTCCATCATCAACCACACGAAGCAGGATCGGTGAGTGAGCAGAGCAGCAAAGAAGGAAGGGCCTCTTCCGGGGGTCCTGGCTGAAGGGAACCCCCCAGGGAAACCCTCATGCAGGCAGCCGAGTTCCCAAGACACGCTGGGTTGAGCAGGTTGGCTTCCAGAGGCAGGAATCCCACCCACGCCCCCCACTCAGCAAACCAGGGAAGGCTGGCAACATCCTCCCTCTGTCCTTTCCTTCCTTCCTTCCCTCCTTTTCCTTCCTTCCTTTCCTCCTTCCCTCCCTCTCCTTCCTTCCCTCCCTCCTTTTCCTTCCTCCCCTCCCTCCTTTCCCTTCCTTCCTTTTCCTTCCTTCCCTCCCTCTCTCCCTCCTTTTCCTTCCTTCCCTTCCTCCCTCCTTTTCCTTCCTTCCCTCCCTTTCCCTCTTTTTCCTTCTTTCCCTCCTTTTCCTTCCTTCCCTCCTTTTCCTTCCTTCTCTCTCTCCCTTCCTTCCCCCCTCCTTTTCCTTCCTTCCCTACCTCCTTTTCCTTCCTTCCTCCTCTCCTTTCCCTTCCTTCCCTCCCTCTGCCTCCTGTTCCTTCCTTCCCTCCCTCCCTCCTTTTCCTTCCTTCCCTCCCTCTCCCTCCATTTCCTTCCTTCCTTCCCTCCCTCTCTCCCTCCTTTCCCTTCCTCCCCTCCCTCCTTTCCCTCCTTTCCCTTCCTCTCCCTCCTTTTCCTTCCTTCCCTCCCTCCCTCCTTTTCCTTCCTTCCCACCCTTCTTTCCCTTCCTTCCCTCCCTCTCCCTCCTTTTTCCTTCCTTCCTTCCCCCCTCTCTCCCTCCTTTTCCTTCCTTCCCCCCCTTTCCCTCCTTTTCCTTCCCTTCCCTCCCTCCCTCCTTTTCCTTCCTTCCCTCCCTCCTTTTCCTTCCTTTCCTCCCTCCTTTCCCTTCCTTCCCTCCCTCTCTCCCTCCTTTTCCTTCCTCCCCTCCCTCCTTTCCCTCCTTTCCCTTCCTCTCCCTCCTTTTCCTTCCTTCCCTCCCCCTCCTTTTCATTCCTTCCCTCCCTTTCCCTCTTTTTCCTTCCTTCCCTCCCTTTTCCTCCTTTTCCTTCCTTCCCTCCTTTTCCTTCCTTCCCTCCCTCCTTTTCCTTCCTTTCCTCCTCCTTTCCCTTCCCTCCCTCTCTCCCTCCTTTTCCTTCCTTCCCTCCCCCTCCTTTTCATTCCTTCCCTCCCTTTCCCTCTTTTTCCTTCCTTCCCTCCCTTTTCCTCCTTTTCCTTCCTTCCCTCCTTTTCCTTCCTTCCCTCTCTCCTTTCCCTTCCTTCCCCCTCCTTTCCCTTCCCTCCCTCTCTCCCTCCTTTTCCTTCCTTGCCTTCCTCCCCTCTTTTCCTTCTCTCCCTCCCTCCTTTTCCTTCCTTCCCTCCCCCTCCTTTTCATTCCTTCCCTCCCTTTCCCTCTTTTTCCTTCCTTCCCTCCCTTTTCCTCCTTTTCCTTCCTTCCCTCCTTTTCCTTCCTTCC